ACAACCGTGGCTGCTGCTCGAGCAGCATCGGCCTCCAAGATGTTCTGCTACGTCATCGGCCTCCTCCTCCTCCTCCTCCTCGCCCTCCCCCTCCTCGCCCTCCCCCCCCAGGTGAACGGGCAGAACGGCCGCGGCAGGTGCAGCGGGCCAAACTGGCTCCTCCTGGTTGTAATCTTGTGCGCGTGTGTCGTGGGTGTGGAGCCGGTTGGCACGGCTAACCCATGCCCTCCTCCGGAGGGCGCCCTCTACGGGATTCGGATGGGGGGAGGGCTCGGGTCCTCTAGGCACGGGTCGGCGGATCGGTTTCCTCGGAGCCCTCCCTCTCGGTCCTCTTCGGTATGGCTCGGGGGCGGGGTGCTACGTAGATCTTTGTATGGACGATCTACACTGCATCTCTTGCGGGCTGCCAGAACACGCCTGGGCTCGCGGGCGGGGGGACCCCCACCTTTTGCAGCGCGCGAAGGGGTAGGGGGCGCTTCTCAGAAAGAGTCTGCTTCTTACAAGGCGCGGGCATTACATTTACAGCCAAGGCCCGCGCCTTCTCACAAGCAGGTGTGTTTCTGAGAAGCCTCCCTCCCTTCCGAACCCCCCTCCTGCGCGTAGCCGAACCTCGCAGGCGCACACGGCGCGCGGGGCAACATGGGCCAACAGAAGATCTTAGCAGGACCGGCGCAAGAAACAACCTGACAAGGGAGGTGCCTACTCATGGGGCCTTCCTGTGGACCAGAAATCCCACCAGCCCTTTAGGGCGTAGGTGGTGCAGGGGGGTTCCTGTTCCAACCCCCTTCCTGCCGTTCGGGGAGGGGTTTACGCCTCCCCCTGCCCACTCCCCTGGACCTGGGCGAGGGGTTCCGCGGGTAATTGGAGCGTCCAACACGGCCTCGGCGAGGAAGCCAAAATCACTGGCTTTACGAAGGTTTTGGCATCATTTTGGCCTCCTCGGGGGGGAAGGCTAATTGGGGGCCCCCCGTCCTCTGATCGATCTCACCCAAAAATGCCCAAAGATGCCCCCCAAGGCTCCCAAGGGTGCCCCAAGAGGGCCTCAAGAGGTGGCCAGGAGGCCCCAAGAGGCCCCCAAGAGGCTCCTAGGATGCCCCCCGAGAAGCTCCCAGGAGACCCCCAGAGGCCCCCAAAAGGCCCCGCACCCAAGACGCTCCAAGAGGCCTCGGCGAGAACGCCAAACTCATTGACGTCACTAAGACTTTGGCCACATTGTGGCCTCCTGGGAGGGGGCACAAATAAGGATGACTCCCCCGGGAGCCCGGTCCGGTCGATTTTGGGGGGGGGGGTCCGCCAAATTCCCCGATTCCCCTGATTCCCCCGATTCCCCCGATTCCCCCGGGGGGGTCATCCGCTCCCGAAAATACTGGAAGGACTCCTCAGGTGGCCTCGAAATGGCCCCAGGACGCCAAAAGAGCGCTCCAAGACGCCCAAGGTGGCCCAAAGACGGGCTACGAGGCCTCCTAGACGGCGTAAGATGTCCCCACGAGGCCCCAAGAAGGCTTCAAGATGCGTCCCAAGAGGGTCCCTAGACGCAAAAGTTTGCCCAGTCCCTCCGTTAGACGTACATTTTTCACAAGTTCGCCCTCAGGGTTTTCCGATGTTCCCAGACGGCCCACGAGGCCCCCAAGACCGCCCCAAGAAGCCTCCAAGAGTGTCCCAAAATAGCCCAAGAGGGCCCCAAGACGGGCCAACAGGCGTCCAAAACGGCCCAAGAGGGCCCCGAAAACGCCCCCAAGAGCGCTTCAGGAGCGCTCCGAGTGGCCTCCAAGAGAGCTCAATATGGTCCCAGACGGTCCAAGAGCGATCAAAGACACAGAAGACGGCCTCCAGACGGCCCAATATGCCCCCAAGAGGCCCCAAGAGGCATCCAAGATGCGCCCCAAGAGGGCCTGTAGACGCAAACAGTTGGCCCGTTCCCTTCGCAAAACGTATATGTTTCACAAATTCCCCTTTTTGGGCTTTCCGACGCTCCCGGACGGCCCAAGAGGCCCACAAGGCCGCACAAAGACGGTCCAAGAAGCCTCCAAGAGGGCCCCAAGACAGCCCAAGAGGGCGCCAAAACGGCTCAAGAGGCGCCGAAGACGGCCCAAGAGAGCCCCGAAGACGGCCCCAAGAGCGCTCCAGGAGCGCTCCAAGTGGCTTCCCAGAGAGCTCAACATGGTCCCACACGGTCCAAGAGCGATCGAAGACACCCGAGATGGCCTCCAGCTGGCCCACGACGCCCCCAAAGGGCCTCCAAGATGCGTCCTATGAGGGTCCCTAGACGCAAAAAATCACCCTTTCCTTAGTAAAACGTATATGTTTCACAGATTCCCCTTTGGGGCTTTCCGACGCTCCCGGACGGCCCAAGAGGCCCACAAGACCGCACAAAGACGGCCCAAGAAGCCTCCAAGAGGGCCCCAGGACAGCCCAAGAGGGCGCCAAGACGGCTCAAGGGGCGCCGAAGACGGCCCAAGAGAGCCCCGAAGACGGCCCCAAGAGCGCTCCAGGAGCGCTCCAATGGCTTCCAGAGAGCTCAACATGGTCCCACACGGTCCAAGAGCGATCGAAGACACCCGAGATGGCCTCCAGCTGGCCCACGACGCCCCCGAAGGGCCTCCAAGATGCGTCCTATGAGGGTCCCTAGATGCAAAAAATCATCCTTTTCCTTCGTAAAACGTATAGTGTTAACAAATTCGCCTCGTGGGTTTTCCGACGCTCCAAGGCGGCCCAAGAGGCCCCGAAGACCGCCCCAAGACGGCCCGAGAGGCCCCCAAGACGGCCCCACGACGGCCCAAGATGGCCCCAAGACGGCCCAAAAGGTCCCCAAAACGGCCCAAGAAGGCTCCAAGACGGCACCAAGAGGGGCCCAAGAGGGCAACCAAAAATTCAAAAGTCTAGCTTTCCGTCCCACGAGCCCCAGGGGGCCCCAAGAGTGCCCCAAGAGGCCGCCAGGGGCCCCCAAGAGGCCGCCAAGACGCCCCAAGGAGCTCCCAAGAGGCCCCAAGGAGGCCTCAAAAAAAAACCCAGACGCTTCCGCATTGCGAGCCGTCAAGCCAACTGCAATGCACTCCGCGCGTGCAGCCTTGCTCTTCCTCGCGACATGCTCACAATCTTGCTCGGCGCTAATGTGATGCTGCTACGCGAACTGTTTCGTGCGCGCTGCGAACGTCAACAACCTCTTCACCCGTCCCGACACATCTGCCACATCTTTCGCGGTGATGCTTCGCTGATCACAGCTTCCGCACGCTACTCTTGCTCCTTTCGTCTTCCGGTGCTCCTCCACTTGGTTGGGGGTCCAAAGGCCGACCCCCCAGAAGGACACCCCGCACCCGGGTGCACAGCGCGCAAGGCGCTCGCAAAACACGCCCCTAACCACCGGCATCACGCAAACATTTAGACCCCCCACGTATCTGCCACCACCCGCGCGCGACACCGCACCCTCACACAAGACGCCGCTAGCCAGAAACTCCTGGCCTCGCAACAGTCACAGACAGGGTCGGCGGATGTGGCGTAAGCCTGTAGAATCAGCTTCGCCGCCGCTGGGGCCTGCAGCTGCGAAGCTGTCGCCGCTTTCATGGGCTCCTGGGAGGTCCAGCGGAGTGGAACTGCGAAACTGACGGCACGTTTGGGGGGTCCTGGGAGGTCCAGCTGGGTGATGTCACGCGCACGTCAGAATGAAACCTCGACGTCCCTGGGTGCTGTGAAATGCGAAACTGTCGCCAGTTTCGTTGGCTTCTGGGTGGCCCAGCGGCGTGACGTCCTACGCGGATCAGAATGAGACCGCGCCGCCCCTGGGGCCTGCGAGCAGAGATACTGCCGCCGCCGCCTTCGTGGGCTTCTGGGGGGCCCAGCGGCGTGACGATCTCCGCGGATCAGAATGAGACCCCTGGGGGCTGGACCAGCGGAGCTGTCGCCACCTTCGTGGGCTCCTTGGGGGGGGCACACGCGTGACGTCCCACGCGAATCAGAATGAGGCCTGGCCGCCGCATATCAGAATGAGACCTCGCCGTCCCTGGGGGGCTGCGAGCAGGGAGACGGCCGCCATTTTGGGTGGCTGCTGGCGGGGCCAACGGGGTCACGTGATACGCAGATCAGAATGAGGCCTCCCCGGCCCTGGGGGGCTGCGAAAAGCGAAACTGTCGCCACCTTCGTGGGCTGCGGCCGGGTCCAGCGGAGTGACGTGATCCGCAGATCAGAATGAGGCCTCGCCGTCCCTGGGGGCTGCGAACTGCGAGGCTGTTGCCACGTTCGTGGGCTCCTGGGAGGCCCAGCGGAGTGATGCCATACGCAGATCAGAATGAGGCCTCGCCGTCCCTGGGGGCTGCGAAATGCCAAGCTGTCGCCATGTTCATGGCCCCCTCGTCATTGCTCCTTTGTCAGATCGTGGTCGCCGTCTTGCCGATGATATGAGTCGCACAAATGATGCCGTGAATCGGGAACAGTTGTCTGCGGCCCCACGTTCTTTGGCGAAGCGTTCAAGGATACTGCGAATCCTTCAAGGCGTAAGCTGGAGATGAGCGGTCCAAGAGCGCGTCAGGAAGGCTGTTCGTCGCCTCTCCTCTCTGGGAGCCTCGCGATCGCCAGGAGTGCCTCGGGGCGTCCGGGGAGGGGACTCTTGTTTTTTTTGTTGCGGCGTCCTGGGAGCCTCTTTGGAGCCTCTTGGGGGCCGCTTGGGGGCCTCTTGGGGACCTCTTAGGGGCCTCTTGGGGCCCCGTGGCGCCTCGTTTTTTTTTTTGGGGGGGGGGCAAACTCAGGACGCGCGATGTCGCGCAAGGTATTCAGAAGGAATGTGCGCACGTAAGCAGAAAGAGAACGGGCTTGACCTGCGAAGCAGGTTCGTGCATGATGTGGGCGCCGCACGGCCCCAAGAAGGAGGACGGGAGAAGGATGAGCGCAGAAAGTGAAGCGTGACAAGCAAGCTCGTGGCGCTGGCTACCGCAAGCGAATACACCGACGGACCACGGTCGTGCGCTGCCGACGGCGTCGGATGGACGATGGCGGGGGGTCGTCTCAGATCAAAGAGAGGCGACCGCAACCGAGGCCACTGAAGCATCTGAAGACCGCGTCGCTTGCTTGGCAAGTGCCACGGTGTGGTGGCAATCTGCTCTTGCAGTTGCTGCCTCAGTGTGATCATCTGCTCCGAGCAGTCCACCGACAGCCGCGCCTGCGCGTCCAAGGTGTTTGACGAACAAGTTCAAGTAGAGATGGCCCTGCTCCGTACGTCCAAGCTCCACCGGACCGAGCTGCAACCACGTAGCCTTCCTCTCGGGCGGCTCCTGGGCATTGAAATGAAGGTCCGAGCTCGCCCACTTGCCCGTGATGCTGAGCGTCTGGAAGTACAGGTCAGCGCAAGAGTCGCCTAGACGGCGAGCGTCTGCCTCGACGATGAGAAGGCTGTCCTTCACGGGAACTCCGCGAGGAACGTGGATGAGCGAGACGTTGCCCGCCTTCATCAGGTCGAACCTTTCGCCGTAGATGTTCTGCAAGTGCGGGTCGCCAGTGGCTGATGCAGAAGATGGCGTCGCCTCCACATATGCTAGATTCGTGAGATCGACGCTTGAAGCGTCACCTCCGTGAGAACTGGATCCCCATGCAACAGCGGTGCCGTCATTCTTGCGAGCCACGCACACATAACCGCCACACATTGCATCTGCTACGTTCGTGAGATCGACGCTTGAAGCGTCACCTCCGTAAAGACTGCTTCCCCATGCAACAGCGGTGCCGTCATTCTTGCGAGCCACGCACACCCGATAGCCACACATTGCATCTGCTACGTTCGTGAGATCGACGCTTGAAGCGTCACCTCCGTAAGAACTCTGTCCCCATGCAACAGCGGTGCCGTCATTCTTGCGAGCCACGCACGCACTCGAGCCACACATTGCATCTGCTACATTCGTGAGATCGACGCTTGAAGCGTCACCTCCGTTAGAACTGAGTCCCCATGCAACAGCGGTGCCGTCATTCTTGCGAGCCACGCACGCATAGCCACACATTGCATCTGCGACGTTCGTGAGATCCACGCATGAAGCGTCACCTCCGTAAGAACTCTGCCCCCACGCAACAGCGGTGCCGTCATTCTTGCGAGCCACGCACGCCCCATAACCACACATTGCATCTGCTACGTTCGTGAGATCGACGCTTGAAGCGTCACCTCCCCAAGAACTCCGGCCCCATGCAACAGCGGTGCCGTCATTCTTGCGAGCCACGCACGCCACAGCGCCACACATTGCATCTGCGACGTTCGTGAGATCGACACTTGAAGCGTCACCTCCGTAAAGACTCTCCCCCCGTGCAACAGCGGTGCCGTCATTCATGCGAGCCGCGCACGCCCACTCACCACACATTACATCTGCTACGTTCGTGAGATCGACGCTTGAAGCGTCACCTCCGTAAGGGCTGAGTCCCCATGCAACAGCGGTGCCGTCATTCTTGCGAGCCACGCACGCCCGATAGCCACACATTGCATCTGCTACGTTCGTGAGATCGACACTTGAAGCGTCACCTCCCCAAGAACTCTGTCCCCATGCAACAGCGGTGCCGTCATTCTTGCGAGCCACGCACGCACTCAAGCCACAGTTCGTCGGGCCCCGCACGTTGTAATTCATGACGCGCACGTTGGAATGGATGCGCTCGCCATGGGCAAGCGAAACCATCGACAAAATCAGTAGCGCCCGCATTGTCTTTTGGTAGGTCGCCATCCCGGCGAGCTGAAAGTGAGAGGAGAACACGCAAGAGTTCGGTATGCACGGAAGGCAAGTCAAGGTACAACCGTGGCTGCTGCTCGAGCATAGGCCTCCAAGATGTTCTGCTACGTCATCGGCCTCCCCCTCCTCCTCGCCCTCCCCCTCCTCGCCCTCCCCCCCCAGGTGAACGGGCAGAACGGCCGCGGCAGGTGCAGCGGGCCAAGCTGGCTCCTCCTGGTTGTAATCTTGTGCGCGTGTGTCGTGGGTGTGGAGCCGGTTGGCACGGCTAACCCATGCCCTCCTCCGGAGGGCGCCCTCTACGGGATTCGGATGGGGGGAGGGCTCGGGTCCTCTAGGCACGGGTCGGCGGATCGGTTTCCTCGGAGCCCTCCCTCTCGGTCCTCTTCGGTATGGCTCGGGGGCGGGGTGCTACATAGATCTTTGTATGGACGATCAAATGATTTATGATTGGTCTGTCCTTTTGTTTTGGGCCCTTCGGGTGGCTTCTCGGTGACACGGCAAGAGCCGCTTCACTTTTTGCAAGGATTGGACGTGGGAGGGTTCGCGGCAGCTTTCGGACACATTCTGTCTACATCTGCATCTCTTGCGGCTGGGCCAAAACACGCCTGGCTCGCGGGCGGGGCCACCTTTTGCCAGCGCGCAGAAGGGGTAGGGGGGGGGACTTCTCAGAAAGAGACTGCTTCTTACAAGGCGCGGGCATTACATTTACAGCCAAGGCCCGCGCCTTCTCACAAGCAGGTGTGTTTCTGAGAAGCCCCCCTCCTTTCCGAACCCCCCTCCTGCGCGTAGCCGAACCTCGCAGGCGCACACGGCGCGCGGGGCAACATGGGCCAACAGAAGATCTTAGCAGGACCGGCGCAAGAAACAACCTGACAAGGGAGGTGCCTACTCATGGGGCCTTCCTGTGGACCAGAAATCCCACCAGCCCTTTAGGGCGTAGGTGGTGCAGGGGGGTTCCTGTTCCAACCCCCTTCCTGCCGTTCGGGGAGGGGTTTACGCCTCCCCCTGCCCACTCCCCTGGACCTGGGCGAGGGGTTCCGCGGGTAATTGGAGCGTCCAACACGGCCTCGGCGAGGAAGCCAAAATCACTGGCTTTACAAAGGTTTTGGCATCATTTTGGCCTCCTCGGGGGGGAAGGCTAATTGGGGACCCCCCGTCCTCTGATCGATCTCACCCAAAAATGCCCAAAGATGCCCCCCAAGGCTCCCAAGGGTGCCCCAAGAGGGCCTCAAGAGGTGGCCAGGAGGCCCCAAGAGGCCCCCAAGAGGCTCCTAGGATGCCCCCCGAGAGGCTCCCAGGAGACCCCCAGAGGCCCCCAAAAGGCCCCGCGCCCAAGACGCTCCAAGAGGCCTCGGCGAGAACGCCAAACTCATTGACGTTACTAAGACTTTGGCCACATTGTGGCCTCCTGGGAGGGGGCGCAAATAAGGATGACTCCCCCGGGAGCCCGGTCCGGTCGATTTTTTGGGGGGGGGTCCGGCCAAATTCCCCGATTCCCCTGATTCCCCCGATTCCCCCGATTCCCCCGGGGGGGTCATCCGCTCCCGAAAATACTGGAAGGACTCCTCAGGTGGCCTCGAAATGGCCCCAGGACGCCAAACGAGCGCTCCAAGACGCCCAAGGTGGCCCAAAGACGGGCTACGAGGCCTCCTAGACGGCATAAGAGGTCCCCACGAGGCCCCAAGAAGGCTTCAAGATGCGTCCCAAGAGGGTCCCTAGACGCAAAAGTTTGCCCAGTCCCTCCGTTAGACGTACATTTTTCACAAGTTCGCCTTCAGGGTTTTCTGATGCTCCCAGACGGCCCACGAGGCCCCCAAGACCGCCCCAAGACGGTCCAAGAAGCCTCCAAGAGTGTCCCAAAATAGCCCAAACGGGCCAACAGGCGTCCAAGACGGCCCAAGAGGGCCCCGAAAACGGCCCCAAGAGCGCTCCAGGAACGCTCCGAGTGGCAAGAGGCGCCGAAAACGGCCCAAGAGAGCCCCGAAGACGGCCCCAAGAGCGCTCCAAGTGGCTTCCCAGAGAGCTCAACATGGTCCCACACTGTCCAAGAGCGATCGAAGACACCCGAGATGGCCTCCAGCTGGCCCACGACGCCCCCAAAGGGCCTCCAAGATGCGTCCCATGAGGGTCCCTAGACGCAAAAAATCACCCTTTCCTTCGTAAAACGTGTATGTTTCACAAATTCCCCTTTTGGGCTTTCCGACGCTCCCGGACGGCCCAAGAGGCCCACAAGACCGCACAAAGACGGGGGCCCCAGGACAGCCCAAGAGGGCGCCAAGACGGCTCAAGAGGCGCCGAAAACGGCCCAAGAGAGCCCCGAAGACGGCCCCAAAAGCGCTCCAGGAGCGCTCCAAGTGGCTTCCCAGAGAGCTCAACATGGTCCCACACGGTCCAAGAGCGATCGAAGACACCCGAGATGGCCTTCAGCTGGCCCACGACGCCCCCAAAGGGCCTCCAAGATGCGTCTTATGAGGGTCCCTAGACGCAAAAAATCACCCTTTCCTTCGTGAAACGTATAGTGTTCACAAATTCACCTCGTGGGTTTTCCGACGCTCCAAGGCGGCCCAAGAGGCCCCGAAGACCGCCCCAAGACGGCCCAAGAGGCCCCCAAGACGGCCCCACGACGGCCCAAGATGGCCCCAAGACGGCCCAAAAGGTTCCCAAAACGGCCCAAGAAGGCTCCAAGACGGCACCAAGAGGGGCCCAAGAGGGCAACCAAAAATTCAAAAGTCTAGCTTTCCGTCCCACGAGCCCCAGGGGACCCCAAGGGTGCCCCAAGAGGCCGCCAGGGGCCCCCAAGAGGCCGCCAAGACGCCCCAAGGAGCTCCCAAGAGGCCTCAAGGAGGCCTCCAAAAAAAAAACAGACGCTTCCGCAGTGCGAACCGTCAAGCCAACTGCAATGCACTCCGCGCATGCAGCCTTGCTCTTCCTCGCGACATGCTCACAATCTTGCTCGGCGCTAATGTGCTGCTGCTACGCGAACTGTTTCGTGCGCGCTGCGAACGTCAACAGCCTCTTCACCCGTCCCGACTCATCTGCCACATATTTCGCGGTGATGCTTCGCTGATCGCAGCTTCCGCACGCTACTCTTGCTCCTTTCGTCTTCCGGTGCTCCTCCACTTGGTTGGGGGTCCAAAGGCCGACCTCCCAGAAGGGCACCCCGCGCCCGGGTGCACAGCGCGCAAGGCGCTCGCAAAACACGCCCCAGACCACCGGCATCACGCAACCATTTAGACTCCCCACGTATCTGCCACCACCCGCGCGCGACACCGCACCCTCACACAAGACGCCGCTAGCCAGAAACTCCTGGCCTCGCAACAGTCACAGAAAGGGTCGGCGGATGCGGCGTAAGCCCGTAGAATCAGGCTTCGCCGCCGCCGGGGCCTGCAGCTGCGAAACTGTCGCCGGTTTCATGGGCTCCTGGGAGGTCCAGCGGAGTGGAACTGCGAAACTGACGGCACGTTCGGGGGACCCTGGGAGGTCCAGCTGGGTGATGTCACGCGCACGTCAGAATGAAACCTCGACGTCCCTGGGTGCTGTGAAATTCGAAACTGTCGCCAGTTTCGTTGGCTTCTGGGTAGCCCAGCGGCGTGACGTCCTACGCGGATCAGAAGGAGACCGCGCCGCCCCTGGGGCCTGCGAGCAGAGATACTGCCGCCGCCTTCGTGGGCTTCTGGGGGGCCCAGCGGCGCGACGATCTCCGCGGATCAGAATGAGACCTCGCCGTCCCTGGGGGCTGGACCAGCGGAGCTGTCGCCACCTTCGTGGGCTCCTGGGGGGGGGCGCAGGCATGACGTCCCACGCGAATCAGAATGAGGCCTGGCCGCCGCATATCAGAATGAAACCTCGCCGTCCCTGGGGGGCTGCGAGCAGGGAGACGGCCGCCACTTTGGGTGGCTGCTGGCGGGGCCAGCGGGGTGACGTGATACGCAGATCAGAATGAGGCCTCCCCGGCCCTGGGGGGCTGCGAAAAGCGAAACTGTCGCCACCTTCGTGGGCTGCGGCCGGGCCCAGCGGAGTGACGCGATCCGCAAATCAGAATGAGGCCTCGCCGTCCCTGGGGGCTGCGAACTGCGAGGCTGTTGCCACGTTCGTGGGCTCCTGGGAGGCCCAGCGGAGCGATGCCATACGCAGATCAGAATGAGGCCTCGCAGTCCCTGGGGGCTGCGAAATGCCAAGCTGTCGCCGTGTTCATGGCCCCCTCGTCATTGCTCCTTTGTCAGATCGTTGTCGCCGTCTTGCCGATGATATGAGTCGCACAAGTGATGCCTTGAATGGGGAACAGTTGTCTGCGGCCCCACGTTCTTTGGCGAAGCGTTCAAGGATACTGCGGATCCTTCAGGGCGTAAGCTGGAGATGAGCGGTCCAAGAGCGCGTCAGGAAGGCTGTTCGTCGCCTCTCCTCTCTGGGAGCCTCGCGATCGCCAGGAGTGCCTCGGGGCGGCCGGGGAGGGACCCTTGGTTTTTTTTCTGTCGCGGCGTCCTGGGAGCCTCTTTGGAGCCTCTTTGGAGCCTCTTGGGGGCCTCTTGGGGACCTCATGGGGGCCTCTTAGGTCTTAGGGGCCTCTTGGGGCCCCGTGGCGCCTCGTTTTTTTTGTTGGGGGGGGGGGGGCAAACTCAGGACGCGCGATGTCGCGCAAGGTATTCAGAAGGAATGTGCGCACGTAAGCAGAAAGAGAACGGGCTTGACCTGCGAGGCAGGTTCGTGCATGATGTGGACGCCGCACGGCCCCAAGAAGGAGGGCGGGGGAAGGATGAGCGCAGAAAGTGAAGCGTGACAAGCAAGCTCGTGGCGCTGGCTACCGCAAGCGACTGCACCGACGGACCACGGTCGTGCGCTGCCGACGGTGTCGGATGGATGATGGCGGGGGGTCGTCTCAGATCACAGAGAGGCGACCGCAACCGAGGCCGCTGAAGCATCTGAAGACCGCGTCGCTTGCTTGGCAAGTGCCACGGTGTGGTGGCAATCTGCTCTTGCAGTTGCTGCCTCAGTGTGATCATCTGCTCCGAACAGTCCACCGACGGCCGCGCCTGCGCGTCCAAGGTGTTTGACGAGGAAGTTCAAGTAGAGATGGCCTTGCCCCGCACGTCCATGAACAACCTTAAGCTCCACCGGACCGAGCTGCAACCACGTAGCCTTCCTCTCGGGCGGCTCCTGGGCATTGAAATGAAGGTCCGAGCTCGCCCACTTGCCCGTGATGCTGAGCGTATGGAAGTACAGGCCAGCGCAAGAGTCGCCTAGACGGCGAGCGTCTGCCTCGACGATGAGAAGGCTGTCCTTCACGGGAACTCCGCGAGGAACGCGGATGAGCGAGACGTTGCCCGCCTTCGTCAGGTCGAACCTTTCGCCGTAGATGTTCTGCAAGTGCGGGTCGCCAGTGGCTGATGCAGAGGATGGCGTCGCCTCCAATTCGTGAGATCGACGCTTGAAGCGTCGCCTCCGTGAGAACTGGATCCCCATGCAACAGCGGTGCCGTCATTCTTGCGAGCCACGCACACATAACCGCCACACATTGCATCTGCGACGTTCGTGAGATCGACGCTTGAAGCGTCACCTCCGTAAAGACTGTTTCCCCATGCAACAGCGGCGCCGTCATTCTTGCGAGCCACGCACGCATGAGCGCCACACACTGCATCTGCGACGTTCGTGAGATCGACGCTTGAAGCGTCACCTCCGTGAGAACTCTGCTTCCACGCAGCAGCGGTGCCGTCACTCTTGCGAGCCACGCACGCAGTGCCACACATTACATCTGCTACATTCGTGAGATCGACGCTTGAAGCGTCACCTCCGTGAGAACTGAGTCCTCATGCAACGGCGGTGCCGTCATTCTTGCGAGCCACGCACGCATGGCCACACACTGCATCTGCGACGTTCGTGAGATCGACGCTTGAAGCGTCACCTCCGTAAAGACTGCTTCCCCATGCAACAGCGGTGCCGTCATTCTTGCGAGCCGCGCATGCCCAACCACCACACATTGCATCTGCTACGTTCGTGAGATCGACGCTTGAAGCGTCACCTCCGTAAGAACTGAGTCCCCATGCAACAGCGGTGCCGTCATTCTTGCGAGCCACGCACGCCACAGCGCCACACATTGCATCTGCGACGTTCGTGAGATCGACACTTGGAGCGCCACCTCCGTAAGAACTCACTCCCCATGCAACAGCGGCGCCGTCGTTCTTGCGAGCCCCGCACGCCCAACCGCCACACATTGCATCTGCTACGTTCGTGAGATCGACGCTTGAAGCGTCACCTCCGTAAGAACTGAGTCCCCATGCAACAGCGGTGCCGTCATTCTTGCGAGCCACGCACGCCCGATTGCCACACATTGCATCTGCTACGTTCGTGAGATCGACACTTGAAGCGTCACCTCCGTAAGAACTCTGTCCCCATGCAACAGCGGTGCCGTCATTCTTGCGAGCCGCGCGCGCACTCAAGCCACAGTTCGTCGGGCCCTGCACGTTGTAATGGATGACGCGCACGTTGGAATGGATGCGCTCGCCATGGGGAAGCGCAACCATCGACAAAATCTGTAGCGTCCACATTGTCTTTTGGTAGGTCGCCATCCCGGCGAGCTGAAAGCGAGAGCAAAACACGCAAGAGTTCGGCATGCACGGAAGGCAAGTCAAGGTGCAACCGTGGCTGCTGCTCGAGCATAAGCCTCCAAGCTGTTATGCTACGTCATCGGCCTCCCCCCCCTCCTCCTCGCCCTCCCCCTCCTCGCCCTCCCCCCAGGTGGACAGGCAGAACGGCCGCGGCAGGGGCAACGGGCCAAACTGGCTCCTCCTGGTTGTAATCTTGTGCGCGCGTGTCGTGGGTGTGGAGCCGGTTGGCACGGCTAACCCATGCCCTCCTCCGGATGGCGCCCTCTACGGGATTCGGATGGGGGGAGGGCTCGGGTCCTCTAGGCACGGGTCGGCGGATCGGTTTCCTCGGAGCCCTCCCTCTCGGTCCTCTTCGGCATGGCTCGGGGGCGGGAATGTTCAAAAACCCCCCGGATCCAACGCCTGAGAGGGCGGTTGGGGCTCCGGCCCTTTCCCTCTCGGCTCCATCCGGGGGGCAGGCCGGGGCTTCCCCTGGCCCGGGCGACCCAGCATCAGGTGGCGCATATTTACCTGTGTCTTTAGGCGTAGAGCCCATTTCGGACCCTATGCAGTCGGAAGCAGGTATGCACAGGAACCGTGTGCGATATTCTCGCAGGAGAGCGCACGGGAAGGCAAAGTGGAAACGCAAACGCAAACAGAAGCGCTCGATGGCAATGCGCAGATTGCCCCTTCTCCGCCGGGCCAACCACAGGCGCCGGGGAAAGAGCCACGGTGAATGTCGTCACCCCTGGGGTGGCGCTTAGAACACTAGGAGATGGGGGGCCATCGGCGGAGCAGAGCAACCTTTGAAAACCGAATGCTTGTTCACCCTCATGAAGGTGAGACATTGGGACTCTTGCTTGCTGTCGGATCTCAGTTTCCCCGCAAATGGAGTGAGAGAGATTGAGCAGGACGGAGAAGTTTGGACAGGTGTCATCAGAAGCAAAATGGATGTAGCTCTGAGTGAGCGACTCACGGTAGAATGGGGGAAGGGAGGGAGTCAGGTAGTAGCAAAGGGGGGGGGAGAAAGGAAGGGGACGAGCTGCGTGTCTATTGTGATCCCACGACAGAGAGTCCATCGAGGCCTATCTCTTGTGGCCTGCTACGCTCCATGTTCAGGTCCACGCTACGCGCGGGCCCGCGACCGGTTCTACGAAGAAGTGTCACATGTGGAAGGGCGCACGAGAGGTGCCGACAACGTGTGGATTCTGGGAGGAGATTTCAAAGCCGAACTCGGCCCCTGCAGGGACCCCGAAGAATCGATGGTGCTAGGGCCCCACGGGGCCCCTCGCCGATCCGACAGCGGAACGGAGTTGTTGGAATTTTGTAAGGAGGAAGAGCTTTTCGCCTTGAGCACGGCGTACCCACGCAGGGAAGCGTGCACTTGGTGGCACCCCCGTTTTCGCGCGGGCCACCAGCTGGATAACTTCTTTACCCGCTCTCGGGATCGATGGCATGTCCACACTTGTCGCACCCTCCATTTTGAAACGGTGCCGGAACAGGGGGTGCCCCGACGTGCTGGGCGGCGCCAGAGGCGCGCTGGTCCCCGGATCAGGGACGACGGCGTTATTGCTTGGGCGGCTTACAGTGACCACCATCTGGTGGAGATCGGGTTCCGCCTCGGCGGAGCGTGGTGGAAAAAAGGGGCTAAGAACATGCATCGAGGAACGGCGTGTAACAATCCGAACTATCCGAGCATGGTCGGCTCCAGCTCCTCCGCGAAGCACCTTCGGGAGCGCTTTGCGGCCAGGCTCGCGGTGTTGTTGGGGGGCGACAGCGACGGCCCACCGACGTGGCGGAAAATATGCGCCGCGACTCAAGAAGCGGGGATGGAGGTGCTCGGTGCCCGGCCAGACCGGCATCAAATTCCGTGGCTCCGCGGCCATGATATGGAGAAAGAGGCTTTGGACGCCAAAGTTGAGGAGGCACGCGCCTTGTGGGCCCTGCACCGGCCGGCACTGCAGGCAAACCGAGAAGCCGCCAAGGCCCGTCGCCGCACGCTCCGGGAGCGGGAGTGCACCTACTGGGAAGATATCGGGCGGCGGGCGTCCGAGGCCGCCCACCGCGGGGACCAAGCTTCCTTATGCAAGCTGTTCAACGAGCTCCGCTCAGGTAGGCGCAAACGCCCCCCGGGGCGCGCCAGCGTGGCGGACGTGGACAAGGAAAGGAGGTCGTGGCGACGTCACTTTGAAAGGATCTCGGGCGATATCGGCCGCGTGGCCGATAAAGTGTGGGAGTCGGTGTCACGCTCGCCCATGCCGGCCCTTTGGCTGGACGCTGTGCCCACGGACTTGGAGCTCGATCGTTGCGTAGCCAGAATGAAGACAGGGAAGCAACCCGGGGAGGCCGGCTTCGTCGCCGAAGCCCTCCGTTTCGGCGGGGATGCGATTCGGCAGCGTGTGTTCGCTCTAGCGAAGCAGATATGGAAACTGGCAGCAGATGGGGGAGGAAGAGCCCAACATGACTTCCCACATGGCTCAAGATACCCCAAGATGCATCAACAAATGGCTCACGCGATGCTCCAAAATGCCTCAGGACCGCTACAAGACGGCTCCAAGTGGCCAAAGAGCTCCCGCAAGTCTGAAATGACTCTGGCAGGTCATATAGCATCGAATTCCATGTCGAAGGAATGCGACATGGGGAGTAGATGGATAGGATAAACTTAGATCGATGCAATGATCTTTCCAACACATAGCGAACACTAAGGTAAGTGTCCGGGCACATAGGGCGCGCGTGCCTTGAGCCAAAGGCAACGGCGCGCAGGCTACACTCCCGACCCTCTGAAACATCCCCCAAAGAGCTACCCTCAAAGACGGGAGGGGAGAAGACGGAGAGTAAAGCCGCGCAGCCGTTAGGCTCTAGAGAGGCCGCGCGCGCAACTGTTTGCAAGAAAAAACAGCGCGCGCAGTCTGGCCTACCACCAGACTGTAGGGCGAGATTATTCGCTGGCGAGCTTCCTCGCAAAACTTTTCCACGCACACGCAGGATAGCCCCTTGGATGCACAGGGGCTATCGGCCCGGCTAGAGGTAAGCCAAACAGGCCATTCCCCCCCAAGCAAAACGGCATTAAAACAAAGAGCCTGAACCAAACCGAACAGGCTCGTTTCCAAGCGTGAAAAGTATGGCTCGTTTCCGAGCAGCTAAGAGGGCGCCTCTGCATTAGGCGCCGGCGCTGGCAAACTGGACCGCGAAGGCAACAAGGACATACTAAAACTGATTCGACTTAGACTTGTTCCTGTCCTCGGGGCCGAGAAAGGGAACAAACTGCTTCACGTCTTACTTGAATGACTGAGTGCCTGACATCACTTCCAAAAGCAGCTCACGATCGATACTCCCCTTTGTATGCCCATCTGCGGTCATGTCTCTAGTATCACACCTCTGTACGTTATGCACTATACCTATACCCATGAGCTCACGTATCCAACTGATATGTCCCAGCAAAGTCCGTTCCGTCGGTATCTTCAGATCTTTGCTGGACAGCGATTTGTATACATACTCAGCGTCTATAGTAAGGGATACTTTGATAGCTAGGCCTCCAACTTCACGCATATCTCGTAGTTGTCGTGGAGTCAGTGCCCCTGCCTTGAGCTCGTGAAGAGTGATGAGCGTGGGATAGCATTCATCAAGATTGTGTGCAGCTGCAAATGCCTCAGCGGCATAGCTGGACCTCACCTGCTGTCGGTGTGATTTGCATAGACCGTCACAAAGGTGAATGACGGATTTGCCTTGAGGCGAGTTTCCTCGCCGTAATTCGTTAGCCCCACGAATGCCGTAGCCCTTGGCTTCATCGTCCTCCTCTCCGGTGAGCTTCCGATACCCCGAATCACTGTGTATGTCTACTTCATTCGTCGGTTTCATCCGAAGGAAGGCGATGCGTGTCGGGTTGCTGATCAGCTTTCGCGTCACAGCATTCAGTCGTCTGACTTGTAAATTGGTAGGCTCTCGGATCTTCTGGAGAGAAACCACATGCACCATAAGCCAGACTTGAGTAATAATTGCATAGGCGAGAGCTCCTCGCAGACTAACGAACATGTCGGTGATGAGTTTGGTAGCTTTGGCGCCTGCTGCCGCTCCCGTAAGTTCAGGGTGTGTCATAGGACATAGTTGTTAAATGTACTCGTCCTGGTCCATGATCACATTACCTTGCTCATTCTTCGTGTAGCGAACGGCACAGTGCGTGTAAGAATGTTTGTTGAGCCTGCGTTCACCAAACACCTTTTCGACGCGTTGTACATAGTCATCTACGTTTTTCTCTAGGCCTGTCATATTGATGTCGTCGACATGTTTTGCCGTTAACAGATCCTGACTGAACTCGAACTCAGGATCTCAACTTGTCGCTGT